GTAGACGTGGGACTACGGAAAGTGAGTGTAAACTTTAGTGTAACTTGAGTGTCACTTGGTCCACGAGAATGCAACTTGGTCTCCTTTCCTGCAAGGAGAATCTGATGGCCTAACCCCACCCTGTCCTCCACTGGGAGTTGGACCACTCTGGTTTGGGGCAGCCTGAGGGGAGCTGCAGGTCCTTGCCTGAGAATGCTCTGAACTCGAATTTGTTTAGTTGTGCAACTCACTTTAGGATCGTATGTGTTTACTCAAGGGGGGCTTGCAGATCCAATTTGGAGTCATCCAACTCTTATGATAGGAAATCCAAGCTCCCAAAGGACCCCAGAAACAGACCCTGGTCTCTTGACAGGGCATTACTTGGGACTACATTCGGTCTGAAAAGATAGGAAGAACAGGATCTCAAGGGTTCAGGTGATTATATAGAGTTGGTGATGGGAAGTTACATACCGACAGCATATGTTGGGCATTTGTCCAGAATGGGACCTGCTCATGCTATCTTTAACCTACTAGATTGTATTGACCTTAATCCCCTCTGAAGCAGTCTAAGTGACATTTTTGAAAATAGGGTCATAGTTCCAAGCTCCTTTTCATACAGTTGGCAGCTCTGATCCTGTCCTGTCAGTCCTTTCCCCATTCCCAATTCTATTCATATTCATACCATCTCTTCCACAATAGGGTATAGAATGCAAGCTTCATCTCTTATAGTTGAGGCTGTCTTACATAAAGATTTCTTATATAGAGAAAGAGTCACAGCACTCAGCTCTGGCCTTGATGGAGGAAGGTCCTAAGCAGAAGCAAGGCTGCTTGTCAAGGAAGATTCTGGCACTGAAGGCAGGGAGCCCTGTGGACCCTTCTCCCAGCAAGAAGGTCAGCCAGTACCTGCATGCTTGACATGGAAGACATAGTTCTTCCTTCAGTCCGCAGCACGAAATACCTGTATTCAAGCATCTTTGACCTTGAACTGACTGCTGACCAGCTGCTGTCAAATTCATGTCTGGACAAATTAATATCTGCAGAAGCCAGTCAGTAGACTAGACCAGTACTGGTCAACAATGACCTTATTACTAATCCAAGGTGATAAGACTAACTGTGAAGACAATCTGGCAAGTTTTTTGTATAGCTAAATTTATTTGGTTTAAAGGACTCTGAGATTGTTTTTCCTTATCTTTGGTGTTAGAGGTCTTCCTATTAAAGGCAGTAGATGATTTTTCATTTTTAATGTTTCTGTCAAAACAAAAGTTGGCAATTTTATGTTGGTTCTACAAATTGGGGGGGAATGTTTTGCTGCTCCATGAAACAGGTTTGGGAACCACTGATCTAAGAGTTTGGTATAACTGTTCCCTGGAGCTTTCTTAACCTTGACACTTTTGACATTTTGAGGCAGATATTTCTTTGTTATGGGTGGTGGGTTGTTCTGTGCATGGTAGGATGTTTAGTAACATCACTGGCCTCTACCCACTGGATACGAGTAACAACCCACCCCACCCTGATGCAACAACTAAAAATGTCTTCAGACATTGGCCAGTGTCTCAAGATGGGTTGGGGTGGATTTGGTGGGGGCTGTGCTCAAAATGTTTGAAAGTTACTGCTCCAGAGACATTGTAAATTTTATTTTATTATAATTTTTATTTTATTATTTTCTCATAATGAATTTCTCTTGCAATAAATGACAGGTTATGGCTGGTTGTATAGTGACCATTAATAAATGCAGGTAGCAAGGAGAACAAGGCTATATAAAGTATATATGTATTTATTTATATTTTACTTTATTATATATTATAATACCTTGATATATGTCTCATGAAGATGCTATAAGGTTTAATTGGCATTAACAAAGTATTGAAAAACACCCAACTAAAGCATATGGTAGATAGACATAGTATTAGTACACATAATAATAATTTGCATTTACATGTCACTTTTCACTTGAGACTCTCAATCTATTGATTCATTTGTTTCCTCAGTGTATGATTCTTGGTTCATCTCAGGGAAACTGAGGCACAAGCCAGTGTTCACCTGACATAATAAAATCAAGGAATTAATTAAGTCTGACATTTTCTTTATAATACCCTAATCACTTTTACTATATTTTTATACATACTAAAAAGAAGTAGGGGCGAGTCTTCTTTAGCTGTGTATTTCTCAGAGCCTGCAGACAGTGGGCACAACATTTGTGGGCAACTGGCAGGCACTAGGGGATGCCAATTGTATTAGCTCAGTTCTCCACAGAAAGTCTTTCATTATAGATTCGTGTTTTCAGTGTTGGACTTTTAGTACCGAGACTGCTCTAAGTAAAGGAACATATCTGCATCTTTTGTAATAATCTAGTTATAATACAATTTAATTTATGGTACATTCTGACTTTCATGGACACTAATTATCTTTGCCTTCATGGGCTCCTTCCTCCATTAAAAAAAGTTAAAAATGATAGTTTATAACTACACTGCTATAAAGATGGATACAATCAAAGATGGATTATATTCTTTTTTTGCTGATTAAAAAATAGTTAAAAGACACTCTCATGTTTTAAAACACTCTGTACCCTGGGCATTGTGCATGGTAGCTAGTGAAGAAATGAGCACCAGGATCACACATTCAAAGGTTGACTGTGCTTTTCCTCTTCATTCTTATGCTCCCAGGGAGATATTCTGGTTTTATTACCTCAGGGTGAAAGACCCAGCAGGCAACAAAAACACCAAATTCTTGGGTTTGGGGTTCAAAAACTTGGATCTTAGGATGACACCATAGATTTGGAAGAATAGATGAAGAGCTGGGCTATTCTGTCCCATGGTAGATGAAGAGTTCATGGACTGAAGATGGAGGGCACCAGAGAAGTTGAAAATGTGTGGGTTTGTCTGGGACCCCAAATTGGAAAGGTTAAGGCTTTAGAAATTCTCAAGCAGGTGGGACCTATCACTGCCTAGCCCTCCATTCCTAGGGAAATGATTTTGGAGCTGTTGAACTGTGGGGCTTGTGTGTATCCCCCAAGCCCAGTGTGAGGGGGACATGAAATCTTCTTGAGGGGTCAGGCAAACAGCTCAGGGATTGCATCTGTTTTCCAGGAACTCTGGGTTCTTGGTGGCTCATGAAGGTTCTTGGTGGCTTAGATAATGGCACGCTTGTGGCAGAGTGCTAGTCTAAGCAAGAGTCTATGTGTCAGGACCAGAAGGGCATAGCAGAGATTTGCATGGATCCATAATGGAAGACCACAGGAGAATGAGGAGATTTCCACCGATGTCAGCAGGGAGAGATGATGACAACAAAGATGGATTCTTGGCATTGTGGCACCACAGAGGCCCTTGAGAGTAGGAAGAGATCCAGAATTGACCAAGATTAAGGTTTTTCCATCTTAGTGATATGAGCACTTAGAAAAGAAATTAAGTACAATTATGGAAAAAATAAAGTTGCAATTCATGTACACCAGAATTTTTTAAAGCTGGATTAGTATTCATTATACATAGGTGTTTATGATACTTTACAGTATTTGAAGGACCTTCTGCTTTTATTTTTTTCACTTTGCAAAAATCTTATTGGTCTTATTTCTGTCTTCATTTTATACATGTGGAAATGGAAACACAGAAAGGTTAAGTGAGTTGCCCAAAGTCACACAGCTAGGACTTGAGCAATGACTCAAACCCATGGCCCCATTCACTCTACCATTACTGGTTCTTGATGTTGTTCAGTATTCCACCTAAGGACTAAAGTGAGACCTTCCTGTGAGGCTCTCGGAAAATGCTGATATGGTACCAAAATGCTTTTAGTGTTCTGCAATTTAATGCTCAGATGTGTGGAGGGCAGAGGGTTCACATGCCTGAGCTCTGCTGCTTCATCCTAGGCTCCCTTCCTATTGTGTTCTATGCAGTGTTCTGCTCTCATCTCAGAGGTGGAGAGGCAAGGGTGTACTTTGAATGCAGTGCAGGGTCCCAGCCCCAAAACAGTGGGATGAGGTGGAGGGTCAGGCCCTAAAGGGCCTCCTGACTTAGATTAGCATGCCCCATCCAGATGAGTGGATGCTGTTCTGCTTCCATGACCCTGTGCTCACACTGTAGAATTTTGTTTGTGTCTTTCACCAGAGTGTGAGCAATGAAGGCAAGGACTGCATCAGGCTTGGTCCCCATTGCATCCCCTGCCTGGCATGTAGTAGGTACTTAAAATATTGACTGAATGAATGGACAATTGGATGGATGGATGGATGAATGGATGGATGGATGGATGGATGAATTTTGGGCTACCTCAGTATCCCTTACACAATCCTAGCCCTGTACCCCTCAATAGCAAGGTCCCTTCTGAGGGATGTTTGGGTTCAGCTTCCTTTATCTTACCCAAGAAAGCTATGTAAAAATAGCTACTTCCGCTGCAGGCCGCTCCACCTCCTTCTTCTTCCCCTCCTCCCAAATCTCTCCTTTATTATCGTTTCTATCTACCCTTTTAGTCAAGGTATTTGGAATATTTTTCCCTCTTCCATCTACATGTTTTTTTCCAGCTTATGCTTAATTGTCAGCTTCCTTTAAACCCTCTTTAGAAACAGGAAGCACATGTTATAAATCCATATGAGCAGATACTTTGCTCTTTCTCATTTTGAAAAAAAACTTTTAATTAAAATTCATGGTAGAAAAAAATGCTAAAGTGGCAAGTTGCCTTTCTAATTTATTACCATGTCTTATTTTAGAATTTACTTTTGGTAACTAATCTACATTATTAAATAAGGTTCACTTCTTTGGAGTCACTGAGTAATTGCTGTGTTGGATAAGTATTGTTCTTATGATATTATTAGTTTTATCACATGTGCTAAGTTGTTTTTAGGAAGTAGCCTCAGCGTTACTTGAAAAGAGATGGAAAATACTTTATATATCCCACATCCAGTGAATTTATAATTAAAACAATGTCACAAATGCCGTCAATTTTCATTGGATAATTTTATTAAAAATTTTAAATGCAATATGTGATTTAAAAAAAAAAAGCTAAACCCCTTAACAGATTCTAATTTATTTTTCAAGGCACCATGACAGAGAAGCCTATCCAAAAGATTATGATATAGAGGGTCCTGAAAACATTAAAAAACTGTGTAATTCAACATATTGGCGACTTGGAACTGATGAACCCCCAGTAAGTAGTTGCTGCTGATTTCTTTAGATCTTGAATCTTCTTCCTAGTGAAACATGGAAAAATAAAGGGAGGAGCTCTTTGTTGGTGCCACCCCTCCATGCTGTGTTGGGTACTTAGGCAGGTGACTCAGTCACTGGATGCTTCAATGATGTTACCTGTAAAATGTGCACATGTCATAAGGTTGTTGGAGAAATTAAATGAGATAAAGCAAATAAAGTGGTTGACTCAGTGCCTGGCACATAGCAAGTGCTCAAGATACCATCCATGCTGTTATGATGCTGTTGCTGCAGCCACAGCATTTTGTTCCATGACTCCTTTAATCTTCACAATAACCCTGTAACGTAGGTGGTATTATCTCTATTTTATAGAGGGGGAGAAACTCCTAGAGGTTAAGTGACTTAAAGTCCCCAGTTAGGGAGTTGAAGAGTGAGACTTTGAATTCATTTCTTTGATTTCAAGTCCTTGTATTTGTCGTAAGGCAGTAGAGTTGTGAGTTATTAAAACACGCTGGTATTATTCTCCTAACTTTTGTATGACCCAGTTCCAAAAGGAATATTCATTGCACGAGTACTTCCTGTTTGAAGTGTCATGAGTGGGTTACTCCTTGGCTATTTAGGTGCCTGCCCAATTGGTGTAAGGCAGGAACTCACCTCTCCAGAGGCCCCCAAATTTTATGTCCTACAGTGTCAAGAAATTTGGGCTAGTTGAAGACTCAGTTTGGCCTTATAGGATGACCTTGGGGCTGAAGAGCTGGTAATTTGACTACAGCAGATGCAAATGTGTTGAGAAGACTGGGTTTGTATCATACTCTGCCCCCAAAGGCAGGGCCATTTTGAAATAGGGCAAGCCAAGGAAGATCCATAATTCTATGTTGGACATGGGTCTAGAAGATTCTCAGTTCTCCAGGGTGATGGGAATGAATTAGCTTAGCAGGGCTCATGCTTGTTTCTTCCTGCCTTTTATAGTTAACAATGGATAGAGAATAATAAGGATAGCTGGAAAAAATGGACATTTATTATAAAGATGCAGCTGCCTGGAAATGGAATCAAGGACACTTACAGGAACCAAGACATCTCTAAAGCAAGACATCCTCCCCCCTCCTCTCTCTCTCTCTCTCACACACACACACCAGTGTCTCATTGACATCCTGATTTTGTGCTGCTCAATGTCTTTTTGCCCTATAGCTCAAATCTCAAGGGCATTCTGATGGTTTCCTCAGTTTCCACATTGGCCTCTTGCCTCTACACCAGGCTGCCTTTTTGGTCACTAGCCAGCACATGGAGGGGTTCCCAAGTCTGATGCTCAGTTCTGTTGGTAGCCACTCAGCCCTGCCCCACCAAACCCAGCTTAGCCTTGCTTTCTTGAGCCATGGGGCTGTGTAGTCAGGACAAGAGCAAGTTAGGCAAAGCACACATTTCCTGGCATGCACTTAGCATCTTTGACTCTTAAAAAAACATTGATATGAGGAATTCTTAATTGCAGGAAACAAACTGAGTGTTGTTGGAGTGGGGGGTGGGGTGGGAGGGATGGGGTGACTGGGTGATAGACACTGGGGAGGGTACGTGCTCTGTTAAGCGCTGTGAATTGTGCAGGACTGTTGAGTCTCAGATCTGTACCTCTGAGACAAATAATGCAAGATATGTTAAGAAAAAAAAAGAAGAAGAAGAAGGTAGCGGGAGGGGAGGAATGAAGCGGGGGAAATCGGAGGGGTGGACGAACCATGAGAGAAGATGGACTCTGAAAAACAAACTGAGGGTTCTAGAGGGGAGGGGGGTGGGAGGATGGGTTGGCTTGGTGGTGGGTATTGAGGAGGGCACGTTCTGCATGGAGCACTGGGTGTTGTGCACGAACAATGAATCATGGAACACTTCATCTAGAACTAATGATGTAATGTATGGGGATTAACATAAGAATAAAAAAAAAAATTGATTTCCAAATGAAAATGTTCTTGGTCTCTGGGTTATAGGAGGAAGTTAGTTGAAGTGAACTATGAGATGTAGGAACCTCAAACTTTCATTCTGTGCATTATACATATTACAGCAGTCAAGCCTCAGGTCTAATAGAGGGTATAGAAATAAGATAATATTTGCCTTCTCCATGACTTTTGTTCATCGTCACTGAAATCTTGTCCTTATTGTTCCAGGTTTACAGATATATTAGATAGGAATGAAAATAGATCAAGGGGTCAACTATTTCTGACAAAATTGCTATTCTCATATCCTAATAGTAAGTTACATTTTTCTAGACTTTTTGTGTATAAAGCACTTGTTCACCCGTCTTGTTTCTTGCACTTCTCAACAAAGTTATAAAGTTGATAAGAAAGATATTATTATCCCAGTTCTAAACCCAGACCCACTGATCTTAAATGATTCACCCAAGGTCCCAGGTATAAAAAAAAGGGGGATACACAGAGACTTCATATTTTCATATGTCAGGTATGATGTTAGATGTAGCAGAAGGATGGTTGAGTTCTTCTTCTTGCCACAGAGTTTTGATAGAGACCTAAATACTAGAATACTCTCAATAGTTGGTGAAAAACACACATCTTAAAGCAAGATGCTAGACCATCTAGGCAGGACCTGCTAAGATATTCTAAACTAGGTTAGGCCAGTATGAGTGATTATGTCCTTGAAGACTAGAGTTCAAGGATTTATTTCGTTGTGGGATGCATGTCCCTTCTTCCTCAGTTGAGAGGTGTTTCAAGGAAATAAGAGAGATTAATATGTGTATCCTGGAACTTAGAGGGCGTAGGGTCCAGGTGTCTGACACTTGCGAAACAGCAAGGCCCACCTGCTGCAGGATTCCATGCCTAAAGTAGCACCCAGCTGGGAAGGTGAGAAGTTTAAATCTAATACAGTTAGCAATTTTGATGATTTCACTGGACTGGAAAATTTCATAACTAAAATGAGATCCTTCTCAAGATTGAGGGGCCTAACGTTCTGCATGGAGCACTGGGTGTTATGCACAAACAATGAATCATGGAACACTATATCTAAAACTAATGATGTAATGTATGGGGATTAACATAACAATAAAAAAATTTTTAAAAAAAGAATATTCAAAGTTAAAGTGTTTTGAGTATTCAAAATTACCAACGTTTGTTAAGTATAAAATTGCTGTTCTCTATAAATAAAAAAATTTCAACTGTCAAAAAAAAAAAAAAAAGATTGAGGGGCCCAGAAAAGTTACGGGACTTGCGTAAAATTTCCATTAAGTGAAAGGAAAGAACTAGTCATCCATGTGGGAAGAGGCAGCTTGATTAAAATGAAGTTGCTTCATGATTACATCCTACTGATGGGATAGGATCAATTCAATAAAATGGTTACATGAACAGTGCCTCATTTCATCCTCTGGACAACTCTTCAGGCTAGCACTCTAAGTGGCCACATTGTGTAAATGAAGAAACTGAGGCCAGGTGAAGCTCGATCACTTGTTCAAAGTCAAACAGCAAGAAAGTGTATTAAAAATTAAAATCTATTTTTACCCTCTGGTTCCAGAGTCTAAGATCTTAAATACTTCTCAAACTATCTCCTGGAGTGCCAAGTGGTTCCACTCCCAGCCTAGTGGCCTTTTTACCCCCCAAACACTGCATCCTCCTTGCAGAAAATGAACCTGATTATTTTTTTTTGCTCTGGCTTGGGCATGTGTTGGGGCATTGGTTTCTTATGTCTTATCTATAACCCCTGTCTTGTTCCCTGAATTATGTCCACACACATGCTAGCTAGCCCCATTCCCATCTGTTTCCTCTCCTACATGTCTTCTTAGCATTTTTGGATTTTTGCGGTAATGCTGCTGAGTGGTTGATTTTTTTGACCATCAGTATTTCTATTCCACTGTATGAAGTTCTCCTTGCCCTTAAATGCTGCTACTGGGGCTAATATGAGCATTGTTTATTTGTAACAGGATTTTAAATAGGCCTTTCTTTGTCTTTATTTTGGCTGAGACTCCAAAAGGCCACAAACAAATCCATAGTCCCATGTGCCAAAGTGAAATATTAGGCCACTTAGGTGAGACCCTCGAAGATGGTGCCCTTAGGTCAGTACTCACATGAAGGATATAAGAGGATTGAAATCCAAGAAACCAAAAGAAGAGTTTGAGAGTAGAAACAGGGTTTTGGAAAAGGTGTACTGTGAATCTCATCTGCTTGGTGAAGGGTGCCTGGTGAAGTTATAGATATGAGGCGCTGGTGATCTTTCCAAAGCAGCAGAGCAGAAAGAGGGGGAAAGTCCAGAAAATGCCATCCTGTGTCATGGAACATAACCACTGAATGTTTCCAGAAGTGATCTCAACATCTACAGAGCATTCTAAAAAAGTCAGCTTTGAACATCCATCAGTGCCAGAGAGGGTCAGACATCAGACATGCCCAGAGGAAACGAAAACAAGAGTATACTTCTGCCTTTCTTGCATTTGCCTCTCTCCTTCCTCGTATCCCACATCTTAAACCCTCAAGAAGCCAGAGGGAATTGAGGAGTAGGGAAGAAGTTTAAGGGGGACAATTGAGAAGAAGCCAACTGTGCCTGCTTTTCCCACTGAGGTATGCCAGGCCAAAGCTGACCTAAACTACAGGAATGAGTCTTTCATTTCACATGAAGTTTTGGCTAGTACATGGTACTGGGGATTTTACTTACCTCAGTGAGACTTCTCTTGGGACAGAAGTAGCCAGAAGATGTTTGTATTATCTGAGAGTGGCCACACAGGTCCATCAATTGTCCTATATTTTATCAAGGAGCATAAAAAAGAATTCGCCTCTCCAAATGTCTATGGATGGGCAGTGATGGAGGAAGAACAGATTTGTTTTCTGATTGTACCTACTTACAAGTCCCACTTGTTCAGTGAGCTCGTTGCCCATTTGTATAAAAAAGAGCAGCCCATTCACATCATCCCTCCCTATCCCTTTTCCTTACTTTAGTTTTCTTCATGGCATTTAAATCACTGGATATACTTAAGACTTCTTTAGTTGTTAATTGCATATATCTCTTGACTAGAATACTAGCTCCATG